TGACATGATGGTGTTAAGGCGCCAACTGTCACCCTACTGCTCCAGAAGCTTTCATGGTACATCAGTTTTAATGTTCCTACAAGATATATTGACCATAAATTGAAGATAAATTGTAACGAACAACAATTATTGAATAAACCGAACGATGGATGGGGACTCGAAGCTTGTTTCATGGAAATATCTGACCCAAAACTGAAGTACTTATCCACAGAGTTTACAAAAGGATGATATTACAACCAGCACTTCCATAAGATGGCTGCAACAGCAGCACCAGCTCTTATCTGACAGCCTAGGAAACTTACATGGTTATTCTATTCTCATACACGTCAAAATCATATAGTCTATTCTCTGAGGCTGACTAATATGACAGTAGTTTCACAGATGGTGCCACTGATACCCTCATGATACATTAACGATACTAGTTATATACGTTATAAGGTATGGGGCTAGGGGGTTTCCACTTATAGTCTCCTGTATCCAGTCACCCCGCTTTGAATTCCCGTCTTCTTTCTTATGTAAACATTGGCAGTCGCCCATTACAAGTTGATTTTCTGGTGTTTATGGTCTAGGTGTACCATAAAAGCTTGTGGGTCTGGGTAGGGATGTAGTAAGGTCACCCTTAACACTACTCTTGATGTAGCATAAAAGCTTCTGCTTCTCGGTAGGGATGTAGTAAGGTCACCCTTAACACTACTCTAGGTGTACCATAAAACCTTCTGGGTCTGGTAGGGATGTAGTAAGGTACCCTTAACAACTCTAGGTGTACATAAACTTCGGTCTCGGTAGGGATGTAGTAAGGTCACCCTTAACACTACTCTAGGTGTACCATAAAACCTTCTGGGTCTGGTAGGGATGTAGTAAGGTCACCCTTAACACTACTCTAGGTGTACCATAAAAGCTTCTGGGTCTGGTAGGGATGCAGTAAGGTCACCCTTAACACTACTAACACAGACACATTAAGCAAGAGCTGCTTGTAAAATCTTCTGATCAATCATTCTGAGCCCCTCATTAGAGTACTAATTAATCATCCGTTCGTATAAATATAACGAATGAAGGTTCTTTTAATGTAATTAAATATATTTTAAATGTTCAAATTTAATTAATATTAATTATTACAATTGATATACATTTTTAGCTATGTCAAAATATTTTTTCCTGATGTACTCCATATACATATTTTCGCTCTGCTTAATCTGTGAAACGACCCTCGCTTTATAAGCCTAACTAACCAGTTTGACATATATATATATATATATATATATATATATATATATATATATATATATATATATATATGTCGTGCCGAATATGTAAAACTGGTTAATTAGCAAGAACTCATTTAAAATTAAGTCCTTTCGAAAATTTACTCTTATACGTTTAAAGATATATTTTTTTTCATTAATGATAATGTAAAAATTTTTAATTTTGCACCAATAGAATCTTAGAAAACTTACCTAACCTTATTATAACAAGAACAATTTATTTTAGCCTAACCCAACTAAATATATTTTAGATTTGTTTACAATAATTTAATACTAAACAAACACAGTGAAATATATTTTTTTTCGTTAGGTTCAGAATGATTTTGGCCAAATTATTGCATACACAAATTTTCACTTGTCCTATATGGCAAGATGAGCGTTGCTATTTAAGCCAAGATCGTAAGTTCTGCCTATTCGACACGACATATATATATATATATATATATATATATATATATATATATATTATATATATATATATATATATACATATAAAATGAAGATGGTATATACAGTACATGAGGTGTGAGAGCTACATGTCTAGTACATATTGTTACGTGTTTGTCACCGATTATAAGGCAAAAATCTCATCCAGCTCCTCAGAACTGGGGCGTGTGCCCAAAATACAGCAGACATTACCCCTCTGAACAGCAGCGCTGAGTCGCTGGAACAGAAAACTAGCTGCCCTGGGATCCTTAGTTACCCTGTTAAGTCTTTTGCCTAGCTCCTTAAGGAACTTAGATGAACTATTTCCCCATGAGCGTAGGGTTTACTAGTCAATGGGAACAAACATATAATGATGGGCAAGTTCTTCGTATTTTCTCGACGTTTGGGACTCCCTGAAGCTGGCAGCTGCCCCTCCTTCCTCTCTGAAGCTGGCAGCTGCCCATCCTTCCTCCCTGAAGCTGACAGCTTCCCTTCCTTACTCCCTGAAGCTGACAGCTTCCCCTCCTTACTCCCTGAAGCTGGCAGCTGCCTCTCCCTCCTTGAAGCTGGCAGCTGCCTCTCCCTCCTTGAAGCTGGCAGCTGCCTCTCCCTCCTTGAAGCTGGCAGCTGCCCCTCCTTCTTCCCTGAAGCTGACAGCTGCCCCTCCTTCCTCCTTGAAGCTGACAGCTGCCCCTCCATCCTCCTTGAAGCTGACAGCTGCCCCTCCTTCCTCCCTGAAGCTGGCAGCTGCCCCTCCTTCCTCCCTGAAGCTGGCAGCTGCCCCTCCTTCCTCCTTGAAGCTGACAGCTGCCTCTCCCTCCCTGAAGCTGGCAGCTTCCTCTCCTTCCTCCCTGAAGCTGGCAGCTGCCTCTCCCTACTTGAAGCTGGCAGCTCCCCCTCCTTCCTCCCTGAAGCTGGCAGCTGCCCCTCCTTCTTCCCTGAAGCTGGCAGCTGCCTCTCCCTCCTTGTAGCTGGCAGCTGCCCCTCCTTCCTCCTTGAAGCTGACAGCTGCCTCTCCCTCTCTGAAGCTGGCAGCTTCCCCTCCTTCCTCCCTGAAGTTGGCAGCTGCCCCTCCTTTCTCCTTGAAGCTGACAGCTGCCCCTCCTTCCTCCCTGAAGCTGACAGCTGCCTCTCCCTCCCTGAAGCTGGCAGCTGCTCCTTCTTCCTCCCTGAAGCTGGCAGCTGCCCCTCTTTCCTCCCTCAAGCTGACAGATGACTTTCCTTCCTCCACGAAGCTGGCAGCTGCCCCTCCTTCCTGAAGCTGACAGCTGCCTCTCCCTCTCTGAAGCTGGCAGCTGCCCCTCCTTCCTCCCTTAAGCTGGCAACTGCCTCTCCCTCCTTGAAGCAGGCAGCTGTCCATCCTTCCTCCCTGAAGCTGGCAGCTGCCCTTCCTTCCTCTCTGAAGCTGGCAACTGTCCCTCCTTCCTCCCTGAAGCTGGCAGCTGCCCCTCCTTCCTCCCAGAAGCTGGCAGCT